CCTCCTCGGCGCCCCACGTAGGAGCAGCACCTGGATAATGGCAAAGCACTCGGGTCAGCGCGCAGCGGGCAGCGGGCAGCGCGCAGCGGGCAGCGCGCAGCGGGCAGCGCGCAGCGGGCGAGCCGCACCCTCCTTCCCACCAGCGCCGGCGCTCGGAGGCGGTCGGAGCGCTCTCGTCGTGCACCTGCCCACCCAACGCAGAAAATCCCCTCCAAAAGTGCTTCTACGCCTTCAACATCACGGATCCTCTTGAGAAGCTGAAGGAAAAAATGGTCCCCTCCTTGGACAAAGTACGCGCCACCGCGCTCCCCTCCGCGCTGAAGCTGCTCCTGCCTCGGCCGCGCCCCCGCTGAGGCCCAGGAAGGGCCCGCCAGGCGGCAGCTGAGTGTCTGGAAAGCGGCCTCTTGGTACCATGTCAAGGAGCCGTGAAAATGACTCTTCTGGGCACGGTTATTCTTTCAAGTAAAGTTTACTCCTTGTGGTGTTCTTAATGCACTGGCCAACACTTTATCGAACTATTTTGATAAAAGAATTTTAAAATTGAAGTGGTCCATAATCACCCTAATGCCTACTGAGCCAGCTTGTGCCTGATTCTAATAGAAATACCTCTGAGAATATCAACAGTAACCATCATTTTGACTTTCGTCTTGAAATTATATGCTTACATATGTGTGTGCTGTATGTACATGTGAAAACATATATGATATCAATTATTTTTCTGTTTCTGTAATTGATCTCTATCCTTGTGCTGCCTTGTGTATATTTTTAAACAAAATATACATGCTGAGTCACGGAAACACCCTTCTGCACCAACTAGATAATGCATATGGCTTCTCTCCTTTGATCTATTGATCCATTAATCATATGAGTAGATTTCTTAATAATGGACTAATTTTGTATTCTTTAGATAAACCTGTATGGCAGCCTGCTTTTCTTCTCTTCCACTGTGGAATTCTAATGTTTTATTTGCTTTTTGTTTCTCTTCCTCCTCCTCCCCCTCCTCCTCCTCCTTTTCCTCCTTCTTTCTCTCTCTCTCTCT